GGAGTTGTTCACCACAGGATTGAGAAGTCTGGTGCTCCATACAGCTCCCTATCTCTCTTTGGATCTCTGGTGACTATTCTTGCCCCCCACATAAAGCAACCCATAAGTGAGGCTATTCATACTTTAGCAGGTCTGGTGGGGGTTGAAACAATAAGGGCACAGAAGGAAGTACGGTCTATGACTGAAAGGAGAGGTGCAAGGGGCCCCGTGAGGGTCTCAAGGACCCAGATGTGGGTTGATTCGATAAAGGCTGGGATAGTGAAAGAAAAACTTGATGGGGAGCCCGATAGGGTCTTGTTAGAACGGTGGCAACCAATTAAAGCCGGAGCAGCAGTTCCAGCTTTACACAACAGTGTAAGTACTCAGGGACTTACACTAAGTACCGCAGCAACATGGGACATGGAAGCCATAGGTAAAGCCCTATGTCTGGCCTGTATCCCTGCAAGACTTCTTGGGGGACAGTACTCAAGCTCCACCTGGGCCCTCACCCCCACAGGAGGATGATTGGGCATCACAGTTTGACTGAGGTGGGGGCCAAAGTCCTCACCTTGGGGGATGTGGTGGGGACGGGAGGCAATTCATCAGTCTCCTGTGAATATACAATGTGTTCGGGCACTGGTGGACACAGGAGCTGATGTTCTCTGATTTATGGCAACCTGAGCATTTTCCTGGGACCCCCTGCTGTGATAAATGGCTATGAGGGTAAGGCAATTAGAGTGAAGAAAGCCCAAATCCCACTGGGGATAGGGCATTTACCCCCAAAGGAGTATACCGTGTACATTTCTCCCATCCCTGAATATATTTTGAGGGTAGATATCCTGCAGGGCCTGTGGTTACAGACCACTACAGGTGAGTTCAGACTGAGGGTATGTATGGTAAAGACAGTTCTGAGGGGACATGCTCAGAACTCACCTGTAGCTCTGCCTGGACCTTGGCAATGACAAATACTAAGCAGTATAAATTGCCTGGGGGGCACAACGAAATTGGAGAAACTGCAGGAGTTGGAGAAGGTAGGTATAAAGCCCACTCATAGTCCTTTTAATTCCCTGGTGTGGCCAGTGAAAGAGCTGGCTGGCTCCTGGTGTATGACCATGGATTATAGGGAATTGAATAAAGTCACACCCCTTTTGCATGCTGCTGTCCCCTCTATAACAGCCCTTATGGACACTCTCATACATGAACTAGGGATGTATCATTACGTTGTGGACCTTGGTAATGCTTTCTTCTCTATTGACATAGCACAGAAAAGTCAGGAACAGTTTGCCTTCATGTGGGAAGGCTGGCAGTGAACATTCACTGTTCTTCCACAGGGGTATCTCCACAGTCCCACCATTTGTCACAGACCTATAGCCCAGGACTTAGCTACATGGAAGAAACCACAAACAGTGCAGCTATACCACTACATTGATGATATTATGCTCATGTCTGATTTTCCTGCAGATTTAGAAGGCGCAGTTCCTAGACTGTTGCATCTACAGGAGAAAGGATGGGCTGTGAACAGCGCTAAGGTTAAAAACCTGGTTTGTCAGTAAAGTTCTTGGAGGTTGTCTGGTTAGGTAAAACTAAAGTTATCCCAGAAGCAGTCATAGACAACGTCCAGTATTTCCCTACTCCTACCACTGTGGCAGTATTACAAGATTTCTTGGGTCTATTGGGCTACTGGAGAGTGTTTATCCCACACTTGGCACAAATTCTGAAGCCCTTATACTGGTTGGTATGACAGGCCATCAGGTGGGACTGGGATGAGACATGTGCAGCTGCTTTTACTGCTGCTAACTGAGCAGTCAAAGCTGTGTAGGCCTTGAGTGTAATGGGCTCATCAAGGCCCTGTGAGCTGGATGTTCATGTAACCAAAGATGGTATGCATGGGGCCTTTGGCAGTGACTTGTATGAACACATCAACTTATTGGGGTCTGGTCACAACTATGGAAAGGAACAGAGGTCTGGGACACCTTGTTAGAGAAGCAACTGGCTGCTGTATACCACGCCTTGTTGGCTACGGAGCCCATCACTGGACCAGCTCTGACCAAGGTAATAACCACCTATCCCATTATGGGGTGGGTGTGAGACTGGACCCAAAGGCCACAGAGTGGTGTGGCACAGATGCCTACACTGGCCAAATGGGGTACATACTTATAGCAGCAGAGTGCCCTGTCTACTAGCCCCTTAAGTGGAGAAATGCAACACTTATTGGGGCCAATGATGTACATCAGTGGAAAGCAGGAAGAACTTTCCTTTTAAGCCATTGGTAGCCAAGAGTCCTTATCAGGAGGGAAAAGCTTGGGATATCTGAAGATGCTTGGGATACAGACAGCTCCAGTCATGGGCAGCCCCCAAAGTGGACGGCTGTGGCTTTCCGTCCTAAGACTGAGACAGTATGGATGGAGGATGGAGAGGGGAAGAGCAGTTAATGAGCTGAGTTGCAGGCAGTATGGCTCGTGATCACCCAAGAGCCCTCTCCTATAGTTGTCTGCACTGACAGCTGGACCATCTATTGGGGCTTGACCTTGTGGCTACCACACGGTATCATGCCAACCGAATGGTTGGCTATGGGCCCCTTTGGGGGCAAGAGTTGTGTCAAGACCTATGGACCCCTGGTCAGACTAAGACAGTTACCATATATCATGTGACTGGCCACTTTCCTTTGGCATCCTCAGGGAATGATGAAGCAGACACATTGGCCCAGGTGTGCTGGCTAGAAGGAAAGCCCACCACTGATGTAGCCCAGTGGTTACAGCAGCACTTGTTGCTCGTGGAGCAAAAGACAATGTGGGCTGTAGCCCATCAGTGGGGCTTGCCGTTGACCTTTGAAGAAGTCAGCAGAGCCCGGAAGGAGTGCCTTGTGTGCTCTAAGAGGGACTTACACTGAATACTGCAACAACGTGGGACAATAATAAAGGATCCAATACCCCTTTTCAGGTGGAAGATATTAGGCCTCTAGCTATATCAGAAGGATTTCAGTATGCCTGACTTGTGTGGACACAGCAACTGTACTGTTGGTTACTTTTCCTGCACATTCTACAGATTAGCAAATGACCACAAGGGCTGAGAGCATCTCTTTGTAGCCCATGGCTGGCTGCAGTTGATTGAGAGCAATCAAGGCATCCACTTTACTGGATATGCGTTACAAGAATGGGTGTAGCAATTAGGAATAAAGTGGAAGTTTCATGTATGTAACCCTACTGGAGCAGGCATGATAGAGAGGTATAATGATTTGTTGAAATCTGGCCTGAAGTCAGACACCAATAGTCTATGGGGCTGCTCAGTTCACTTATGGACAGTGCTATGGCATATGAGAAGCTCCAAAAAGGAGCCTCAAGCCCTCTGGACATGCTAACACACATTGCTGCCTCTCCTATCCAACTGTATGAGCAAACCAAAGAGGAGTTATTGAAGCCAGGATATGGCCAGCAGTGCAACATCCTGCTGCCAGCCCTAACTGTGTTAAACCCTGGAGACTCTGTTGAGTGGACATGGCCCTGGACATTTTGATACATGGACCAGCGATGGCTGGCCCTTCTGGCACCTTGGGGAAAAGCCCTGTGTGTTCCTGGAGTAACAACAGTGTGGCCTCCAAAGATCATGGTAGTGCACCCAAAGCTTCCAGGAGGTAAGGGCATTTTACAGGGAAGTTTTGTTTTATCTTTATAGCCAGTGCATGCACTTCCCATAGTCCTATATATTGACCCATCTGTAACTCCCACAGGAAGGATGATGAAAGTCTGGATACTAGACCAGGATGAGATCCCATTCCTGCCACAGTCCTATCACAGGACCACTCTCTTGCATGCATCCTACCTGATGAACAAGACTTGCTTATGCTGGTGTCATTAAAACATGTATCTTATTGTTCTTAAGTTTATTTTCTTCTAGTCCCTGTCACCTGGGCCTGTCCCCTGGCTGCAGCTGCTGTATGATGATTGCACTGAACTCCCTACCCGTTCAGCTTGTGGAATGGGCGAGCTATGGCCTTAATCTGCATAGGACTTTGAAACTAGCTGGGTCCTCCGGCTTGAGGATTATCACGATTTATTGCTGTTGTTATTGTATGTTATTAGTTCGGTTACAGTGCTCCAGCTTTCTTGCACAAGGGCCAGTGTGGAAGATGGGGAGCAAGTAGATTGTGAGTTGAGATTTCTGGAGGGGTGGGCTGTGGGTAAATTGCAGTATTTCCAGAATCTCTCACCTGGCATTAGTGCATCTCCATATCAGTACGTCTATCCAAGGCGTGGAGAATAGTCCATCTCCATAACAATAGGTGACTACAACGGGGAGGGAGACACATATCAGGACCTGAGAGGTTGGGTGGGGGCCCTTTTTGCAGCCAGGTTGTGACAGACATGGGTGAGCAGAAGTGGACAACTGCTTGTAAGCATAAATGAGTTTTTCCCACCTTATTTCTCCTTTTTACTGATTTCAGTTTCAAAGGTAATTTGCCCTGGACTGGGAAAAATACTTTCCCCTGGAGTTACAATAGTTCAAAAATAAATTCCAGTTTATTCCTTTGTGCGTCTCCAATGTAATCTTTTCTGTTCATCTTACATTCCACTCATAGATAGTTCTTCTGAGAAAAGAACTATAATCTTGGTAACTTGAAATAGGACGTGGTGGGCATTGGCAAATGCTAGAAGTAAAACTGGGAACCAGTTGTGAAACATTTACTAACACACCACTGGAAAGGCCACACTATATAAATATAATGATCATATACACCCACCATCAGCTCCCAGGCCCCTGTGGGTTTTGATGGGATTTCAGGGTAGGAAAGAAGGTCGTTTAGCAGAGCATTTTACCTATTTATTTGTGGCAAAGAAGAAAAACGATGTTCTCGGCCTTTGCATTATTTCAAAACCTAAATTCATATATCCTGTGATTAGAAAACTGTCACATATGAAGTAGAACACCCAGAAGGGTATAAGAAGTCGTCCTGAATTAGGGTTTGTATCAGTGTGCTACCGTTAGAGATCCGGGAACTCGCGCCTGCCTCTTCTGGCCAAGCGCAAGCTGCTCCTCCCACCGCTGTTTCTCCTTCCCCGGGATGCAGAGAGCTTCCCCAAGCGCACAGAGACCGGTGGGCTGGGTGATCCTGTCCAAGCGCGAGGCTCGAGAAAGATCACCCTCTCCCTGGCGCCTGGAGCCTGCCAGCAACCCGCGTGGCGCAGAGGGATGGAGTCCTGGCTGGAGACGCGCTGGACGAGGCCCTTTTACCTGGCTTTTGTGTTCTGCCTGGCCCTGGGGCTCCTGCAGGCCATTAAGCTCTACCTGCGGAGGCAGCGGCTGCTGCGAGACCTGCGCCCCTTCCCCGCACCCCCCACCCACTGGTTCTACGGGCACCAGAAGGTAAATGAAAGGGAGGGGCTGAGGAGGATGCCGAGGAAGCGATGCAAGCAGAGAGGCGGCTGCTTGCTTCCCTTCCTCCCATCGCTGCGTCCTCACAGGGCTCTCTGGCCCAGGCCTGGGGCTCTGGGCGCTCTTCACTACTCCAGACTTGCTCCCTCACAGCTCTAGAGGGAAAGGGAAACACCCTACAGCCATTAGAGAGGAACCTTTTGGGGCTGGGAAGGGGCTAAGGAGAATAAACACGCTCAGGTCTAATTGCTTCACCAATTTCTTGCATTTATATACTGCCTTTAAGAAAGCCTTCCACATGTATTGTTTTAAAAAAACTATGTTATCCTAAATAATACTTACCAATTGCAGAAAATATGCAAAATTGGGCACAATAATTGCCACCCCTAGTCCATTCCAAACAGAGAAAATGAACTTTCTTTTCCTAAGATTCTTGTGAAGTAGAGAGCAACCCTAGCCCACCCAAAATATACAGACTAATGGAAATTTGTAGAGGAAGACTGTTGCCTTTAGTCTCTCCTGTTCTCTAAATCCATTCTCACCCCTGATTATTTTATTCATTCAGTTTTAACTTTGAGTGGCAGTTGTGTGAGAAGTGCTAGGATTACAAAGAGAAGACAGGTTCCTGCCCTTAAGTGTCCTAAGTCAGATACATACTTAGACTATAGAGAGAAAATGAAAATGTAGGGTTATGAGCGCTTTGATAGAAGCCTGGGGACAAGGAAATCTTGGAGGGAAATACATGAGTCCTCCAGCTTTGTTCTTCTTATTGAAGATTGTTTTGGCTAGTCAGGGTCTCTTGATATTACATTTGAATTTTAGGATGGATTTTTTTATTTCTGCAAAAAACATCATTGGAATTTTCATAGGAATTACACTGAACCTCTAGAGTGCATTGGGTAATACTGAGATTGTAACAGTATTGTCTTCCAATCCATAAATATAGTATGTGTTTCCATTTATATATTTTAAAAATGTCCTTCAACAGTGTTTTATGGTTTTTATTGTACAAATCTTTCACCTTATTGGTTGAAAATGCTTGGTTTTCCAATACTTGGTTTCACCTCTTAAGTATTTTATTCTTTTTGATGCTATTGTAATTGGATTTCTTTTTGTAATTTTCTTTTCAGATTATTTATTGTTAATATATAGAAATACAACTAGTTTTTGTGTGGAAACTGCAGGTTTTCTACATTTAAACACAGACATGCAACTGACTTTGTATCTTTCTACTTTGCTGAATTCATTTAATAATTATAACAGGGATTTTTGTGTAATTTAGGTTTTTATGCATATAAGAGTCTATCATCTGCAAATGGAAATTTTTTTTTCTTCTTCCTTCCAATTTGGATGTCTTCTATTTCTTTTTCTTGCTTAATTCTCTGGTTACAACTTCTAGTACTATGTTGGACAGAAGTGGCAAAAGTGTGCATCCCTTGACTTGGGCCTGGTTTTAGAGGAAATTCTTTCAGTCTTTCACCATTGAATATGATGTTCACTGTGGGTTTTTTATATATGACTTTTATTATGTTGAAGTAGTTTCCTTCTATGATACCTGCTTTTTAAAATTATTGAAACTTAATTTGTGGTCTAACATATGGTTTATCCCAGAAAACGTCCCCTGAGCATGCTGCTGCTGTTGGGTAGAGTGTTATGTATTTGTCTGTTAGATCTAATTGGTTTATTGTTGTTTACGCCCTCTATTTCCTTACTTAACTTCTGTGTGATTGTTTATCTATTATTGAAAGTGGGGTATTACAGTCTCCAACCATTATTATAGAACTATTTCCTCTTCAATTCTGTCAGTTTTTGCTTCATGTATTTTGATGGTCTGTCATTAGCTGTATAAATGTTTATAATTGTTCTATCTTCTTGTATTTAAACTTTACTAGTATATACTATCTTTTTATCTCTGTAAAGTTTTTTTATTTAAAGTCTATTTTGTCCAATGTTAATGTAGCCACCCCACTCTCTTTTAGTTACTGTTCACATTTTTTCTCATCTTTCGCCTTCAATCTATTTGTCTTTGGGTCCCAAGTAAGTCTTATAGACAGCATATACTTTAATCAGGTTTTTAAAGAATATACATTATGTCAATCTCTGTGTTTTTATTGGAGAGTTTAATGTATTTACACTTAAAGTAATTACTGATAAGAAGGGACTTTATCATTTTGCTATTTGTTTTCTACATGCCTTATAGCTTTTTTATCTCTCATTTCCCACACTGCCTTCTTTTGGGTTTAGTTGATTTTTTTTGTAGTGAAATACATAAATTCCTTTCTGGTTTCTTTTTATGTATATTTTATACCTATTTTCTTGGTGGTTACTACAAGGACTACATTTAACACTCTAAAGTATAACACTAATTTAAATGTATACCAGCTTAACTTCATAACATACAAAAACACTGCCTCTTTACAATTCTGTCTCCACTTATTCAGTTGATGTCACAAAGTTACATCTCTATACATTGTGTGCTCCAAAACATAAAATAATAATTATTTTAACTATATTATTCTCTAACACCATACAGAAAACAAGAAGTGGAGTTACAAACCATTGTTACAATAATATTAACATTTACAATTGCCCATACATTTACCTTTTTTGAGATCTTTATTTCTTCATACAGCTTTGAGTTACTGTCTAATGTCCTTTCATTTCATCCTATAGAATTTCTTAGAGCATTTCTTGCAGGGCAAGAATGGTAATAACTCTAGTGGTAATAAACTCCCTCACCTTTTGCCTGTCTGGGAATAACTTCTCCCTCACTTTTGAAGGACATAGGACATGGATATAGGACTTTTGGTGGACAGGTTGTTTTTTTTGTTTTGTTTTTTTAGCACTTTGAGTTTATCAGTCTGTCTTCTTCCCTTCATAGTTTCCTTTGAGAAATCTGATAATCTTATTGAGGATCCCTTATATGTAATAAGTCACTTTTCTCTTGTTGCTTTTGAGAGTCTCTTTTTGTCTTTGTCTTTAAAAAGTTTGATTAAAATGTACCTCAGCATGGGTCTCTGAGTTCATCTTACTTGGAGTTCTAGTGCTGGTTATGGTATGCATTAAAATGGTAAGGATAAAGAGTTAGGGACAGGACAGTAACAGTAAATACTATGATTTATTTGATACTTCCCCCTTCCCCCAATTTCTCTCTTCTTTCTTTCTGGAACTCTTGTGGTTTGAATTTAGACCTACTGGATTGAGCCTCTATTTTTAAAAATCTTTGCTTCTTAGCTTAGTCTTCCTAGAATTTCTACGAGCTTAGTCTTCCTAGAATTTCTACTAAAAACATTTTTTAAAATTTGGCTATCATAGCATCTTACTATGCTGATAGACAGTGACTATCTGCCTATGCAAGGGGTGGGGGATGAGGGCTTGATAATATGGGTAAATGTTGAAACTACAGTGTTATTCATATGAAACCTTCATAAGATTGTATATCAATGATATTTTAATGAAAAATTAGCTATCAAAATTTAATTTCCAAGAACTCTGTCTTGTTCTCCATTTATTCATACATGAATTGCCTTATAATGCATTTTAAAAAACACCCTAAAACTTAGTGACTTAAGACAACAAAGAAGTCCAATTTGTCTGGTTTTTCTTTTGTTGTTTGTGCTTTTGGTGTCATATCTAAGAAACCATTGCCAAATCCAATGTTAGATCCTTATGTTTTCTTCTAAGAGCTTTATAGTTTTAGCTCTTTCATTTAAATCTTTGATCCATTTTGAGTTAACTTTTGTATATTGGGTGAGGTATGAGTCCAACTTCATTCTTTTGTATGTGGGTATTCAGTTATCCCAGCACCATTTATTGAAAAGAGTATTCTTTCCCACATTGAATTGCTTTGGCACACCTGAATAGGAAAAACCCAATTCTCCTCCTGTGTTTCTCCTTTACTCTTATAGTACTACCACACTCACAACACTTCTGATGCCAGATGTGTGGCAGCTTTCCCTCCACCAAGCAATTCTGTGACAACTAGATGGGTGTCCTACAATTTAACTCAATTCTAACACTATCTACCTGGATATAGAATGAGATACCCCGGATTAAGAGTTCAGCCCCACAAGCCTACCCCCTATACCTAACTTCTTATGTCAATTGCAAGTCCAAGTTGTTACCCGTGCTTCTGATGAGCTATAATGAAAGTTCCCATGTTCTCCTCATCAGGTTAGATTGATTTGCTCACAGAACTCAGGAAAACAGTTTACTTACTGTTTACCCTTTTATTATAAAAGAAGGTGACAAAGGATACAGATGTACATCCCCAGGGAAGTGATGCACAGGGCAGGGGCATGGGAAGGGGCCCAAGCTTCCATGCCCTCCCAAGGGACACCACTGTCCCAGCACCTCCACAGGTTCACCAACTTAGAAGGTATCCCAAAAGCCTATATTTGGAATTCTTATGGAGGCTTTATCATGTAGGCCTGATTGATCATTAATAACATTTCCAGCCCCTTTCTGCTCTCCAGAGAATGTGGTGGTGGGGCTGAAAATTCCACACTTGTAATTATGGCTTGGTTTTTCTGGTGACCAGCCCCTGTCCAAGAGTTACCTCATTAGAAAGAAAGACACTGCTATTCCAGGAAATTCCTAGTGCTCTTAACACTTAGGAAATTGCAAGGGTTTTAGGAACTTGATGCTAGGATCTGGGGGCAGAGGTCAATATATATATTTTTTCAATTATCTCATAGCACCCCTGTAAAAAATCAATTAACTGTAAGCATGGTTTATTTCTGGACTCTGAATTCTATTCTATTTGATCTATATGTCTATACTGATGCCAATACCAGAGTCTTAATTACAGTTGCTTTGTAGTACTACAAAGTTTTGAAACCAGGGAGCTTGAGTTCTCCTAATTTTGTTCTTTTTCAAGATTATTTAGGCTATCTGCATGCTTCCAGTTTCCATATAAATTTAGGTTCAGCTTGTCAATTTCTACAAAGAAGCCAACTGTGATTCTGACAGGGATTGCATTGAATCTGTAGATCAATTTGGGAAGTAATGACATCCTAAGGTTAAATCTTCTGATCCATAAACATAGATGTCTTTCTATGTGTATTTAAGTCTTTTTAAGTTTCTTTCAACAACATTTTGTAGTGATACTGTTGTAAATGGAATAGTTTTATTTTCATCTGGATTATTTTTTTACATTCATAGTGTTTTAAAGTCCATGCCCTCTTGACTGTCATTAAACTATTTTTTGTTTTCGATGCCTCTATCAGAGTTTTGCATATTAGAGATTACTGATCTGTCAAGCTTATATTGCCAACCTTACCTATTTACTTTCTTACCCTTTATGTTCCCTTTGATGATTCATCACTCAGGTAGTCACAAGGAAAGGATAGAACTATTTTACATAGACAGTAATATTTGAAGTGTACTCATAAGGTTCTGGAAGGAAAATGTGTGTGTAGGAAAATTCCCAACAAGACAAGAAATTTCATTCCTTGCTCTGGAACAGTATACTGCTCTTTTTGCTATTCCTCAAATATACTAAGAAAATTCCTCCCTCAGAGCTTTGAATATACACTTCTGTCATTGAAATGCTTTCTCTACATTTTGTTCAGGCCTTTGAACAGATGTCACCTCCTCAGAGAGGCCTGCCCTTGACCACTCAAGCGAAATAGGGCCTCTAGTACTCTCTATCCCCTAACTCTGTTTTTAATATCTTGGCACTTATAACTCTCTTGAAACCATAATATATATTCCTTTGCTATATACTCCCCTCCCCTCCACTAGAATATAAAATCTGTGAGAGGAAGGTCTTTGTTCACCACTATGATCCCGATGCTTGGCTCATAGTAGGTGCTTAATAACTACTTTGTTGAATGCACACATATATTAGGTGCTAAATAAATTCATTCATTCAAAGATCTATTGACTACAAAGAATAGACCAGGTAGATTGACATTTATTCAGTAGGCCAGTGAATCCCAGCCAGTGTATGGGACCTAGTCTGCATATTCAGGTGTGTGTGTGTTGTGTGTGTGTGTGTGTGTGTGTGTGTGTGTGTGTGTGTATGTGTGTATGTAATTCAGAGAAAGTGCCATATAGTTAAGTATCTGAGCACTTGGTCTCCACAGTTCAACCTGGGTTTGAATCAACTACTAGTTGACAGCCGTATGAGCTTGGACAGATTACCTAACCTTTTCAAGGTTCAGTTTCCTCTGTTAAATGTAAAATTCAATCTGTAAAATGGAGAATGTAATTGTATCTGTTTCATAGGGTTAATGACATAAAGATTAAGGAATATAAAGCATGGAAAGCACTTGGTGGCACCTAGGTCATAGGTATAATGTTAGCTGTTGATAAATGTTAGCTATTACTATTTCCTCTGGGACTAAATATTGTCTGAATATTTCTGAACAATGTTGCCTAAATATGTATGATACATATTTTCAAATGTGTTTAGACACTGCTGTGGATGAAGAAATATAAATTCATATATTAGAGGATTCACAATACGTTTCCGTCCTTTTTGTCTAGATAGGAGTTACTAAAAGTATAACCAAATGCTCATAGTTAACGGAGTCAATGACAATTTCTTACCTAAAGAAACAATCCTTATATAAAGCTATAACTTCCATGAGGCCAAAGACCTTGCCTGTCTTACATTTCTCTACATTTCTATTGCCTAGTACATAAAATAGGCACTTCATAAATACTCATCTGTTTATTGTTTGCAAATGAATAAATACACAAATATTCACATTATTGGGAAACACCACTTACATGCGGCTTGACTGTTAGCAAAAGAGAATTTGCAGTATTTCCAGGACTAGATTTCAAGCGTCTTAACCTTTTAGGGGCCCTCAACTATCCAGGGAATATACTTCATGGGTTAGAAGTGTTGGTCACTAACAGAGGAAATTGGGAGCCAAAATTTTCCACCACTTCTGTGATTACTTGTGTTTGTTCCACAGATAATCCCAGGGCAAGTTCTGTGTCATTGATCGCACGGGGAGAACTTGCCAGCTTTCAGTTTTCTTTGTATCCAAGAAGTGGATATAAATGAATCTTACTATCAGTGTCAACTATTTAAATGAGCCATTAGTAATCTTCTTATCAAAACAAAAAGTTCATCTCTAATGGGAATGTGTGTACTCTGACTTTTAAACGTTGGAAGCTGAGAGCTTTGTGTTTGGATTTGCTTACACCTGTATGAAAGCCTTCTACCGTTGTAAGGTAAAAGAGATTTTCTTTGTAGATGGCGTTGGCAGGATTTTAGAGAGAAGCATTTACTAATAGGCCATGAGAAAGAATCACTCATTGATAATGGAGAGAAAAAAAGGGAGAGGGAACGGGGAGTCAAGTTCAATCTACTAACAGTTCACTTCCCACATAGGACAAATCCTTTTTCGGCTCCTAGACTCCACTTGTATCTAATTGTATGACTTGGCAGGTGACGTACACTGTGTGAGGTGGCTCACTCACCCTCTCAGTTGGGAAAGTGGCTCACAGTAAATGTCATTTGACAGTGATTTGGTCTGGGAATGCAATATATGTAAATTGAGAAGGTATGTACACTACCCTTGTTTAGATATTATATCCCTACATAGAAATCCCAAGGAAAACCTGTGCACTCACTTCCAGAAAAAGGTTCAGGCCCCCCTGCCTGTGTGACCTTATTGAGGCCCTGAACTCAGCTGTGTCTGTGAGAGAGGATGAACCCAGACTGGCTGGCTTCTCTAATTTCCTTCACTTTTTTCTCTGCAGCTACTTCAGGATGGTAAAATGGAGAGGCTTGAGAAGCTTGTCGAAAAATACCCTTGTGCCTTTCCTTGCTGGGTTGGGCCCTTTCAGGCATTTATCTATATCTATGACCCAGACTATGCAATGACATTTCTGAGCAGAACAGGTAAGAAAAGGGATGAATCTCAGGAACCTAATCCTTCTAGGAGTGACATACACAACCAAAGGCAGTATTCTAAAGGAACTCTGAGGCCCAGATTAGCACTGGGCCTTTGAGAGACCCTGGAGAAAGCGTGGAGAGGATTCCCACCAATCCTGAAAGGGATGCCCACGTCCTGCCAGCCCCTTCTCTAGTCCAGGCTCCCTGGGCCCCTTTAGGCCAGTGTATTTGAAAGCGCACCTGGCACCACCAGCCCACCAGGGGCCTCCTTTGCCTTTCTTCGTTTTGCGACTTCAGGATCAGCCACACTCCTACCCCCAACTCCCTTCTTGAGCATAAGTCTTCAGGGGAATTCAGAAGTAGCTCTGCCTTGGCTGGTTCAGTATGTAAACCTAAAGGTTAGATCATTAGTTTACCAGTCCAACCTCTTGATTGTGGTCCACATTTTGTATTTGTTTTCTGCATATTTCTCAACTGTGTTCCCTTTTGGGGCATGAGTCATCTAACTCCCCCATCCAGTGCTTTTTCAAGGCTTCCACAGTGGATTACATCACAGCATAAAATTAAAATGTCCAGTTTTACCCCATCATCCTTGTAAAACTTAAGGTCTATTATTCTTATCCTTCTTCCCTGCACCATTGTCTCCATTATTCCTAATAAAACCTAATAGAAGAAAACGGCCTTCCCCTGAGTCCCATGTTTCCCTGCCCCCAGCTCTGATTCATCTCAGTGCTCACCCAGGAAGGGACAAGAGCTGAAAAGCACCTCTGCACTAGAGTCATGGAAACGGCGAGAGGCATTTGTACCTCACTCCCTGGTGTCTGCCACCCCCTGCACTAATAGCTGATTTGCTTTCCAATAAGGATGGATATGATATGTTGTCCCAACTCCTGTCTGGAAATTTTGTAACCCTCGGACAATCTCTGTTTGTATTGGAGGAGTTTAAATGAGGGAAGAATCTGGGTTTGTGTACATGTCTGCCTCAAGGGATTTACTGTTTTGGGTTCCTGAACTAAGACATGTGGCTTTCTAGGCCTGCGTAGGGCTGCAGGGAGTGAGCCCCTTTTGCTTACTATTTGTGGTTAGCAAGGGCAAATGAAGAGAACCTTTACCCACTTTGGTGATTTTCCCTAATGATGTTTTTTGTTTCCTCTGCTTGACTGCAGATCCCAAGTCCAAGTGCCTGTACAAGTTCTTGACTCCATGTCTTGGTATGTATATGCAAATGAGAGGGGTATGTATGTGCAAATGAGGGACCTACTTTCTAGCTTGGAGTCCCCTTTCTGTAGCAGAGCATCATGGAGAAACTCACATTGGAGTTCAAAAGCATCAAGAATATGGTAGAGCAATACTGCAAGTTATCTAGGGGAAGATCGAGAGGGAGAGCTAAGGTCAACGCAGCACAACTTCCCAGGAGCCCTCCTCATCCATTTCTCTCCCCAAAGTCTCATTCTCAAGGCAGCCTAAGTGTCAGTCAGGCCCTTTGCTGTCTAAAACTGCAGCCTCACCATCTGTGTTCTTTATTTCATCGTTCCTTCTCTCTTGTTTTCGTGGATTTTTCCATTTCTTTTTGGAGTTCCTCTATTTCTCTTTGCACACCAGTAAAATTTTCTCCAGAGTACAGTTTGGTAATATTCTATCAGCAGATAAGCCTTTTAGTCTTCTAATTGGTATTTATATTAGAAAAGGAGGGAAATAAATGAAAGAACGTAGGTTTTAGATTCAGAGCTGCTTGGATTTGAATTCTGCCACCCACTGATGAGTTAAGTGTGATTTGGGGGGAATTTTCTAATGAGAATCACATCTCTGGGCTATATGAAGAGGAAATGAAACACATTTTCAGCACTTTGTGTAATGGCTGGCACTGTACCTTTGCTGGACCATGTATTGCAAGCCTGCTGTGCTGTAAGCACTCAATGACTGATGGCAGTTACATACTGATAAACTTCGAGATCCTTTTAAAACCAAATCTTTAATGACCTCCCTGGTCACAGAAGATTGTCAGTCATTAGCCTTGACAAGTGTTCCCACTTTGTATCATTTACAGGTATGAAGCATAGATTAGGCCTCAAGGAGGGGCTATCTAGGAACAGAGGGGGCCTTCATGTCTAGTTTCTGGTGAATTTTATGTTTATAGTAGAGTTTATTGCTTAGTACAGTTATAGCTGACTAGTCTGGAGTGGAGAGGAGATGACTGTTGTGTTTCCACTGTGAGCTAGAGACAAGGCTAGTTGCTTCATGCATACACCTTTAATCTGCACTACAAGTGAGGCAGATATTAATTTTCACATTTTATTGTTGAAAAAAAAACCAAGCCTCAGGAATGCCAAGGGACTCAGTGACTACACAGGCAGTAACTGGTGACTTCAGGATTAGCACTCTCATGTGACTTCAAAACTTGGGGTCTTTCTCACAATGTGAAACACATCTATCCTAGGTGTAAGCATCAAAACTCACGTCAAGCGTAACATAAGAGCACTACTTTGATTTCCATGATGTCATGACTCCCTGTGTGTCATGGTCACTCCACAGTGTCTGTGTTCCTCACCTCTTCTTCCTCATCTCATCTAATGAAATGGCATGGGGTTTTGAACCTTTTATTTCTCAAGGAAAAGGACTAGCGAGTCTAGATGGACCTGAGTGGTTCCAGCACCGTCTCCTGCTAACTCCCGGATTCAATTTTAACATCTTGAAATCGTATGTCGAGGTGATGGCCCACTGTGTGAACACAATGCTGGTAAGTGAAGGGACAAAAGTGCTCTGGTATTGCAAAATGCTGCCAACAGGGAATGTATGAGATGTGTTTAGTGTATAGTGAAAGTCAAGGGGGATAATTTCTAGAAATTAACCAATGTACAAATACTTAGTGAACAATAGGTATCTATGTAAGCCTTTGCTATGGATCTTTGGGCGATAAAGAAAAAGGTGAAGATCTGGGTGTCTGTCTTAGATGTGCTTTGATATCCTATGGCAGTAAACAAAGTACCAACTAGTAAGATTTAGATGGCAAAATCTGTAGGTGACAGGTAAGGAAACCAGAAGCAGCTGTAAGAGCTTCAGATTCAGAAAAGACTCAGCGTTACCATGAAATATCAACTGGACTTGAATATGTGGGTAATACAGATGAGCAAATTCTCGGCAGAGTGAGTTAGCATGAACAAAGGTTGGAGGTTGAAATGAACTTGCCTGATGGCCATAAAGGATCTTGCAAAATATAAATGTCTACCTTAAAGTCACAGATGATGTGAGTTTCCCCTTGTACCAGTTGGAGGATCATTAGCTGACTGTGCCCTTCCCAAGGGGCAGGAGGACGTTGCCGAGGACTATCCCTATGGGGGCTCCCTGATTTATAAATGAGTTCTATTCCAAAACTCCACTTGTACATGGTATGCTTTAATTTTGAAATTGTGCTTATTTAAAAATTAATGTAACAAAGACAAGCAGTTCATTAATAGTTTTATCATAAATACTTCAAACACCACAAACAAAGCTAAAATTTCCATCCACCTTCACCTGGAAACCCATCTCTTTCTAAGAGAACCACTGTTACCAGCTGCTTGGCTGGGTTCTCCGCCAAGTGCATGGGTCAGATTTGACCTGAATGGTCTTCCAGGATTATGCTGAAAACACCTATATGAGTCCTTGACGTAGAGAGCTGCAGTACAGGCCAGAAAGGTACATTCTCTGGTTCTGGAGCTGTACAGCTTTGTGCACAGTTGCAAATTAGCCAGTGGCAGTATTGAGTTTACCTCCCTTTGGATAAACCATTCTGTCTCCCTGTCTTTGCAGTCCCACACTACCCTGAGATTCCTCTCTGAATTGGGCCCATGTGCCGCCAGCTTTGAATGTCCCCTTCACTGTCATTTCTTCTAAACTCACTTTCTTTACTCAGTAAAACTTACATAATTTAGGATGGAAGCAACTGACTAAACAATTGACACTTGGGTAAAACTTTGTAAAAAATCTCTGCCGTTTTTTCCATGGCCTCCAAATCCTCAGTTCCTGGCTATAGGCATAGGTGCTAACAAATACAGGTTGATCTGAATGTAAATATTTAGACATACTTGTATTTTTACACAAAGAATGCTTATTAGGACAAATGTCTTTTCAACAGGGAACTTTGCAGCAGTTTAAGCTACAAAATATTTCAGGGAGTGGGAGTAGGGCATTTGCTGATGGGCAGGAAAGTGGACACAGGCAGTCTTGGATGGGAGCCAGCTCCCCACAGCAACTCCTATTCACTCATGGATTCTCTCTGTCCTCCACTTCTGAATTGAAAAAAAACCTCTTTTTTAATGTGCCAGGTTTATTTTAAGTGGGGTTATGGTGGGTGAGAGTAGTGATGGGGTGGGGTGTCTAGACATTTGGGGACTGAGGATGGAGGAAGCCCTGGGGAGACCCCTTCTCCTTACAGGTCTTGTATCAGAGATTGTCTGTTTTACTGGAACTCTAATCTGTTTTAAAGCAGAGTTGTGGGAATACTTGAAAGGCCAGAGATGCTTAATGCAGCCATTTAGCAGATACCTGGTTTGCTCCATGCTCTTTTTTCACCCAGCTAGGTGCATTTTCCCCTTCCTCATGCCAAACAAGCACTTGGCTTATTTACTTGTATGATCTTTGGCTCCTGCTAGGCCAGGGGATTCTCCCTTCTGTTAGAGAGCAGGCTCAGGGGGAGCCTTCAGATGAAGGCAGTTTGATGCTGATGTTGACCTGGACCTCCTGTGCCAGGGTAAGTGGGAGAAGATTTGCGGCACTCAGGACACAGTTGTGGAGGTCTTTGAGCACATCAGCTTGATGACCCTGGACATACTCATGAGATGTGCCTTCAGCAAGGATACCAACTGCCAGATAAACAGGTCAGTGACAGGAGAGCAAAAAAGACACTTGCCTGCCATTACCTAAGTCATTTGTCGACATATTATCTCCACTTTCTCTTCTAGCACCCAAGATCTTTATGTAAAAGCAGTATTTGAAGCCAGCAACATCATCTTGTACCCTTTGTACAGTTTCTTACATCACCATGACATAATTTTCAAATACAGCCCTGAGGGCCAGCGCTTACAGGAATTAAGCAAAATGCTGCATCAGTACACAGGTATGTCTTAGGTTTGGGTGGCCCAGGTCCTTAGTTGACTGATGTCTGTCTAGAGGGCTAGGCCTTAATGTAAAAACGTAACTCTTGTTCTTATTGGAGTTTTTATTTGGATGCTGCACAAATGAAATACAGGTCCTTTAGAAGAGTTTGCTGCCTTCATAGCAGTAGTCTTATCAGAAGTTTTCTATATATTATACAATTTTTCCATTTACTCATATAAAATTTTTTTATATAGTCTTAAATTTTTTTCTATTTTTATATTGAGGTACATACTATAAAATGCACAAATCAGCATACAGCTTGATGAATTTTGACATGTGTATACACTCATGTAACCTTTTTTTGTTATGTACAGTTTTTGTTAATACAAATATAACATACCATGGGCATGTTATATTTCAAACACACATGGCTTTGGCTTTTTGCAGAGCTTTTAGTAATAATGACAAGCTAAAAACATTCATTCAACATAGGAATGAATAGGGAACTGCATAAAAAGGGACGGACATTCAAAAGAAGGGGGAAATGGGGAGTTCAATGAATACAATGTTTTGGTTTTGCAAGATGAGTAAGTTCTAGATATCTGCTGTAAAAAATAGTGCCTGTAATTAACAATAGTGTATTGTGCACTTAAAATTTTGTTAAGTGGGTAGATCTCAGGTTAAGTGTTCTTACCACAATAAAAAATTAAAAGGAGTTTGGTTCAAAAATAGCTTGAGCAAAACAAACATAAAAGTTGAAATAGTTGAAGCTTTTTAAGCAATTAAACATTACTTGTCATGAACTTCACGAGAGAATATTTATCAAGCAGTTAATTAACCCTTCTTCAGTTCCACCTCTTCCTGGTAGAGTAACCTTGGGCATGTTTTGTCTGTCTGTCATCTGTGAAGTGGGGATAAGAAAGAACCTATCCCATAGGTGTGGTGATGGTTAAATATGTTACTATATGTAAAACACTTGTAAAGGACTGTGCCTAGCCCTGAATAAATGTGAACAATAAAATATAGTTACTATATCAAATATATGTGCCCGCAGCACACTTGCAAGACACACCTCCATGTGCACACACACACGAATGTAGATATTGTAAAGAAAGACCCTCAGAGAAGCAGGCTAGAAACTATTTAAGACAGAAGTGGGCATGATAGATAGCAGTAGTTCTCAAACCTGTTCATAACATGAAAATGTTCATCACCCAGAAAATGTTCATGAATATTTGTATGACTCATTGGAGTGAACAGAAAGGCATCTACATAGGACTTGTGAAAGAATGCTTTACCATTTCTTTGTATTACATAATTATGATGAAGAAAGGAATTCAAAGTATCTGGGAGAAGATTTAATGTTAAATTTGTTAAAAATAAAACCTTTTCAAAAGTTTTTCTTTTTATTTAGTAAAATTTATCAATATTTTCTTTCATTGCATCTGGATTTTAAGTAATAGTCAAAAGCCTTCCCCTGTTCCAGAGTATCTCAACCACGGCACCAATGACATTTTGGGCTAGATAATTCTTGGTTGGGGGGATTTGTCCTGTGCAGTGTAGAATGTTTAGCTGAATCCTGAACATCTTTCGACTTGATACCAGTAGAATCTGACAGTTAGAGCAAAATATATCCCTAGATATTGAAGAACACTGCTGAACACCTTCTGGGTGCCAAAATTGTCCCCAGCTGAGAACCACTGCCAGATGTACCCAGAATTTAGAGAGATTCATCATGGTTTCTTCTAATGCTTGTATGGTTTTTGTTCTTTTTGCATTTAGCTCTCTGACCCATTTAGAGTTTATTCTGATGTATGGTGTGAGGTGTTGATCTAATTTTTTCAAATGGTTATCCAGTTATCACGTCACCATTTATTAAATAGTCCTATCTTTTCCAGTGATTTGAGATAACCACCTTTATCATATTCTAAACTGACATATACATTTGCACCTATTTCTGGATGGTCTTTTCTAGTCCATTGGTCTGTCTATCCATGTGCTAGAATAATGCTGATTTATTTAAAAAGAATTTATAATATATTTCTTAAATTAATAAACTATTTCTTATAGAGTTTTAGGGTTTACAGAAAAATTGAGCATATTTCATCACCCCCCACCACAGTTTCCTCTACTATTAACATCTTGCATTAATGTGGTGTATTTGTTACAATTGATGAGCCAATACTGACATATTACTAACTAAAATCCATAGTTGAGGCTCATTCTATGTTGTACATACACTCTATGGCTTTTGACAAATTTATAATGATATGTATCCACTATGACAATGTCATACAGAATAGTTTCCCTGCCCCCAAAACTCCCCTCTGCTCACCTACTTATCCTTCCCTCCCTCCCTCACCCTGAACCCCTGGCAACAACTAATTGTTTTTAATGTCTCTACTACCTTTTCCATGTCATTAGTTGGAAACCTACTGTATGTAACTTTTAAAGGTTGGTTTCTTTCACTTAACAATATGCATTTAAAGTTCCTCCATGTATTTTCATGGCTTGATAGCTCATTTATTTTTGTTGCTAAATAACATTCTGTCATCTGGATGCACCAGTTTGCTTGCCCATTCAGTTCCTGAAGGGTATCTTGATTGCTCCCAAGTTTTGGCAGTTTTGAATAAAGCTGCTATAAACATTTGTGTGTGGGTTTTTATATGGGCATAAGTTTTTGACTCCTTTGGGTAAATACTGAAGAGCATGATTGCTGGATGGTATGATAAGAATATGTTTCATTTTGTAAGAATCCACCAAATTGTCTTCCAAAGTAGCTGTACCATTTTGCATTCCCACGAGAAGCGAATGAGAGTTCTTATTATTCCACATCCTTGTCAGGATTTGATGTTGTCAGTGCTCTGGGCTTTTGCCGTCCTAATAAATTTGTAATGATATCTCATTGTTCTAATTTGCATTTCTCCAATGGCATATGATGTGGAGCATCTTTTCATATGTACGTTTGCTAACTGCGTATCTCCATTGGAGAGGAGTATGTTAGTCTTTGGCCCATTTTTTAATCAGCTTGTGTTTTTTTTTTTCTTCTTAAATTTTAAGAGTTCTTTGTATGTTTTGGACATATTAAGCAGGCCCTATAAGTTAAGCATTAAGTCCTGATATAACAGTCCTTCATCAGAATTGTCTTTTGCAAATAGTATCTCCCATTATGTGCCTTGTCTTTTTATTTTCTTAACTTCATCTTTGGCTGAACAGTTTTTAATTTTAAGGAAATCCAGCTTATCAATTTTTTTCTCTCCTGGATCATGCTTTTGGTGTTCTAGCTAAAAAGTCAATGTCAAACCCAGAGTCACGTAGATTTTCTCCCATATTATTTTTTAGGAGTTTTATGGTTTAACATTTTACACTTAGGTCTATGGTCCATTTTAAGTTATTCTTGGTGAAAGGTGTAAGATCTATGCCTAGATTCTTTTTTTGCATGTGGATGTACAATTGTTCCACCATCATTTGTTGAAAAGACTATCCTTTCTCCATTCAATTGCCTTTGCTCTTTTGTCAGAGATCAGTTTGGCTGCATTTGAGTGGGTCTACGTTGGAGCTTCCTATCTTTTTCCATTAATCTATTTGTCTCTTTTTTCACCAATCCCAGACTATCTTGATTATTGTCGTTTCTGAGTAAGTCTTGAAGTCAGGTAGTGTCAGTCCTCTGACTTTATTGTGTCCTTTAGTACTGTGTGGCTATTCTGGTCTTCCAGTCTTTCCACATAAACTTTAAATTAGTTTGCTGATACCACAAAATGACTCCGGTTTTTTTTATTGTGATTGCATTGAATCTATAGATGAACTTAGGAAGAACACAATATTTATTCCTATTTGTGTACATGGAATATCTCTCAATTTATTTAAAAATTTTGTTATTTCTTTCATCAGAGTTTTGTAGTTTTCTTCATATAGGTCTTATACTATTTTGTTATATTTATACCTAAGTGCTTCATTTATTTGGTGCTGATTAAATGGTATTGTGTCTTTAATTTCAAATTATAGTCTTACCTCCTACATTTGGGTCTCTGATCCATTTTGAGTTAATTTTTCTATATGGTATTAGGTAAGAGTCTAACTTAATTCTTTTACATGTGGATGTCCAGTTTTCCCAACACCATTTGTTGAAAAGACTGTACTTTCCCCATTGAATGGTCATGATACTCTTGACTGTTACATGAGTATTTATTTCTGGGCTTTCTGTTCTATTCATATATTTATTCATATATGGTATAGGTCTGTCTCTATGCCAATACCACACTGTTTTGATTACTGTAACTTTGTTGTAAGTTTTTGAAATCAGGAAGTGTGAATCCTCCAGTTTTGTTCTGGGCTATTTGAGATCTGTTAATCTTTTAAAGATTGTTTTGGTTATTTGGGATCCCCAGGGATTCCATGTGAATTTTCAGACAGATTTTTCTATTTCTTATTAATATATGTTTTTAAGATTATGAATTTGTCTTTGTTCACTAACTATATCCGATTTTGATAAATAATGTTTTCATTGTCATTACTTTTTCAGACATTCTGTAATTTCTGTCTGTATTTCCCTTGCACCCAAAGGGTGTTTAATAGACAGTTTGTAATTTATGGGTGGAATGTCTTTCATTTTTTGATTTTTAAAAATTTCTAGTCTTATTGTATTATAATTAGAGAGTATTGCTTGTAATATTTCTGATTTATGAAATCTAATAATATTTTTTTGATTTAATATAGGATCAAATTTTGTAAATAGTCCATGCATTCTTGAGAAGAAAATATATTTTCTATTATTAGGTATGGTGCTTGATATTTCTGTGCATATGTTCTGCCTTAGTATTTTGCTTAGATCTTCTATATATTATTTTTGCCCACTTGACCTGCCCTGTGCTGAGGGTGGTATGTTAAAGACTACTATTACTAGTGCAGTTCTGCCTATTTTTACTTGCATCTCTTATAGTTTCTGCTTTAAATGGGTACTTCTGTGTTATTTGGTTTGTGTGTTTTCGTAACTGTTACATCTTGTGACAACATGACTCTTAGGTTTAATGAGTTTTTTGCTCAAATTCTACTTTGTCTGCTCTCAGTTACAATCCCTACTTTCCTCTCATTTCCATGTGTCTAGTATATTTTCCACCGCTTTATTTTTAGCCATTTTGAATTACTTTGTTTCATATATTTTTCTTATATGCAGTACATTGCTGGGTTTTGCTTCATGAGCCAATTTGAAAATCTTTTTATATTAGTAAACAAGCCATTCCCATTCTTATCTATTGAAATGACTGTTAAATTTGGTTTCAACACTGTCATACTATTATGTTTTACTATGTGTACTAAGTTATAATTACTGTATGTATTAGTTTCCTAAGTCCATTATAATAAACAACCACAGACTGGGTGACTCGAAACAACAGAAATTTATTCTCTCACAGTTGTGGAGGCTACAAGTCCAAAGTCAAGGTGTTGGCAGGCCCATGATGCCTCTGGAAGGCCCTAGGGAAGAATCCTTCCTTGCCTCTTGCTGCCTTCCGGTGGTCGCCAGCCATCCTCAGCAATCCTTGGCTCGCAGCTGTGTCACTCTAACTCTTGCCTCCATCTTCACGTGGTCATCTTCTTTCTATGTGTCTATTGTGGTCCATTCAGGTTGCTCTAATGGAATACCATAGACTTTGTGGCTTATAAACAGCAGACATTATTTCTCACAGTTTGGAGGCTGGGAAGATCCACTTACAAGTAGATTCAGTGTTTGATGAGGGCCTGTTTCCAGTGCACAGAAGGCTGTCTTCCCACTGTGTGCTCACGTGGCAGAAGGGGTGAAGGAGCTCCCTAGGGTCCCCTAAAGGCACTAATCCCATTCATGAAGGCTGCATCCTCATGACCTAGTCACCTGCCAAAGACTCCACCTCCAAATACCATTACATTTGATATTAGATTTCATATAGGAATTTTGCAGGTACCCAAGCATTCAGTCTATGGCTGTGTCTGTCCAAAATTTCCCTCTTCTTATAAGGATACTAGTCTTTGAATCAGAACCACCCTAATCCAGTATGACATTTTCTTAACTTGATTACATGTGTAAAGACTCTATTTCTAAATAAAGCTACATTCACCAGTTCTAGGTGGACTTGGATTTTGGGGAGACATTATTCAACCCAGTACACTATTTATTTCTCTATGTGGTATGTCTTCTTTGCTCCTTTTAAATGCAATATCTTTTGCTTTTTAAGAAGGTTTATATTTTTGTTCTATGGCTCCCACAGAAATTAGTCCTTTCACAGATCCTTAATCTGCCTTTCCCTTATTTAAATCTTTGTTATCTGGTTTGTCATTATTTTTCATTGTGGTTGACTATATGTTATCTAACATTTACCATTGTAGTCTTTTTAAAGTGTACAGTTCAGTGCTATTAAGTACATTCACATTGTTGTGCATCCATCACCACCAACAAATCTCCAGAACTTTTCTCACCTTGCATAACTGAAACCTCATCCACGTTAAACAATAACTCTTCATTCCCCTCCCCTCCAGCCCCTAGCAACTACCATCCTATTTTCTGTCTCTGTGAATTTGACTAAGTACTCTAGGTATGTCATATATGTGGAATCATACCATTTTTGTCCTTTGCGACTGATTATTTGATAGTTTGTCAGTTTTTAGTAATATCCTTTGATTTTCATTTATTGCCTATGTAAGAATTAGTGATCTTATTCTACTTTCCTTTCTGCTTCCCTCCTCCTCCTATTTTTAGTAGAATGTTTTTACCTTTAATGCTTATGTACTATTCTTTTGCCCATGTCCTTATCCTAACTTTATTTTAAACTGAGATATCAATTAAATCTATGAAATGCCCACCTCAGCTCCTACTATCGATTCCTCAGGATGGGCTCATGAGCACAGTATTTTCTGAATTCATGCAAATTTACAACTGCTGTTGGTAGACTCGATACTTGAAAGACAATTTTGCTAAATATAAACTACTTTTCTCACACTTTGTTTACTTGAGTTTCTTAAAAATGCTCTAACCTTGCCTTGATTTATTTACTGTTCTTGAGAAGTATGATGCTAGTCTAGTTTTCTTACCCTTTAAAGTCATTTGCTCTTTCTGTCTAGCATCTCAAGGATTTTATTTTCTGTCTTTAATGTCAAACACTCCTACTAGGATATATATTGGGATTGGTTATTCTGTTCCAGTTTTTTCCAGGCATAGGGTAGTGTGGAATAAATGGAAGTTTTCAACTGGCCTTGATAGTGATATGCATATAAGGGCCTGTTTGCACATATAACACAACAGTGTGATGTTTACCATGGCAGAGCCACAATCTCTCATGGGATTGCTGGTCTGGGGTATAGGGTGAAGAATAGGAGCCATTCTCTCCTCCCCTCCATTCCTGGTACATAACTGATCAGGTGCCCACCAGTCACAAGGGACCTGCCCACAGAGTTCCTCCCAGAAGAGGCGGAAGCAAGTGGAGCCTGCTCCATGACCAGAGAGAGAGAGCCTGGAAGTGGAGCCCAGCAAGAGGGTACAGAGCATGCAGAGAGAGAGAGAGAGCCCAACAGCTGGGGTTGGGAACAGAGCACTGCTGGGGTGGAGAAAGACTGAGCCATGAGAATAAAAAATACCTTTAATCCCCAACCTACCCTTTGCCTTGTCTTCCTTTGGTCTTATCAGATTCATAAGGAACTTGCCCCAGTTGGGGAACCCCCTTCCTCCCAGAGCCACAGTTGGGCTATTTAACATGCACATTTAAATTTTCTCTTATTTCCAGGGATTTTTCCTGGAATATGGTTTTAAATATTCTGTTCTTATTTTTGTTTATTCTTGTAGCCCCTTCAGTTATACATATGCTGGCATTTCTTTGCCAGTCTTCCATTTTACTCCATTTCATTTGATAACATTTCCATGAAAATGAGATATTAGACTGAGGAAAAAGAGAATGATTGTTCACTTGCACCTAAATTTGAAATCATCTTAATTATATTACCTACCTAGTTATGGAAGTTATATTTTTCATCTGTTGAGTTTGTCTTTGGAGCTGTGATCAAAGGTTGTCATTTGATGAGGAAATAAATGTCTGCAAAATTTAAATCTATTTAAATATAATATATCCACTGTCATCTCAAGAAATTAGGCAAGATTTGAAGCTGTTGATGAGCCGTGACTTGCTCTGTCATTCATTTTACTGTGATTGACTTAACTGTCACTTTAATAATGGGGAATTATTTTCCTACTCCAGAAAAGGTAATCCAGGATAGAAGGGAATCCCTCAAGGATAAGAAGAAGCAGCAGGGTAACACTCAGAAGAGGAAGTACCAGGATTTCCTGGATATTGTCCTTTCTTCCCAGGTAAATATTTCAAATTTCTGAGCCTTTGCATGTATCTGGTGAATTGTGTGTGTAGGTGGATAAGTTGGGAGGCAGGGAGACACAACAAAATAGATGGATGAAATTTAACAGTACTTTTGAATTGATATGTGGGTTCCATACAGTTTGAGGTAGAGAGAATTCCACAACTCTGTCACTAGAATAGTCAGATGAGACTAAATTTTTTACTGATTTGACAGTATTTGGTAATTTTCTTAAAGACACATGGTAGTTCAGGAAAACACAGGTAAATGGATCACAAAATAAGTGAGCAAAATGATGATCAGGGGGTACTGGGAAAGTCAAATAAATCTGGCAGGGTGATTGGAGGAACCCTTTGCAAGGCCTGTTTACCTCACGTAACTTTGGTTCTCCTTTATGCTCTTGGCAAAGTGTGGGCTCATAGTATATACTTGTTGAACTGAATTAAAATTGAAATTCTCATTTGAAACTCTAATTTTTTCCCTAAAACCATTATTTTGATTGGGGCTCCAAACAGCTACAAACTGACATCACATATAAATATCTCTACTGTACTTTCTAGGCTGAAAATTCTAACAGCTTCTCTGATACTGACCTACAGTCCGAGATGAACACATTTGTGTTATCAGGGCATGACACAATGGCAGGGGGCATTTCCTGGCTCCTCTACCACCTGGCTTTGCACCCTGAGCATCAGGAGAGATGCCGGGAGGAGATCAGAGGCATCCTAGGGGACACGTCTTCCATCACCTGGTGAGATCCACATCTGTAAACATTTCATTCTGTTCTCCTGGGGTTTTGTTTTATCTTTTTCTCTGTTACCTTGGTGACCACAGTTCAAGATACATGTATGTGGAAGCAAAAGAGGCAGGCTACTGTTCTGCTCTTTTTCTAGAGGGCCCAAAATGATCCCTTTGTCTTTTGCAGGACATCCATAAGTTACCTATTTCATTGTTTTTCTAATGAGTGGTGTGCGATATGTCCTGTTTCTTTCTTTCACTCAGGCTCTGGTGCACTGGGAATAGGACCTGGTCCCTAGACTTGCATTTAGAGCTTGAATGGGCTCAAGTAGTGCTCCTGTCCTGAGATCCCCGAGTGAGCATCTGTACCATTAAGCCTCATTGCAAACATTCTCTCCCGCCCTCTGTCTGCACCTCAGGATTGGCTCTGAACTCTGAACATAGCACTAAATGATACACACTGTAGTTGAGTTTAGCAAACATGGACTGAGGCCATTATAAGTACTGAGGCATTTAAAACACATGCTAATTTGGTATGGGTCCTGCCCTCAACAAGCTCACACCTCACTGTAAGGGACAGGCCGTACAGATATTTGCAGTATAGCATGATTAAGGGGGCACAAGAGGTATGTGCTGTTAGCACTGGGACTAGAAGACAGGCATGAGGACATCAGGGAGACTTCCTGGGAGATCTGACCCTTAGGCTGCTTATTACAGGAGGGTGAGAGTTAGCCAGGTGGGAAACCTCAACTCCATCTTGCTAGATTTTGAGCATATTTGCTGTTAATGAGGCCCAGGTTATGGATTTGTCCCTCCAACATGTTGTTGGCAAAGAGAACACATGTCCTTGATATAAACCATACTCTATTTGCTAGCTAGATATTTCACATATGTGTTTTGCTGGTCAAAGGGGCAATAGGAATGCTAAGAGCAACTCAGCCCATGACTAGGAGGAAAATGTGTATTTCAAATGTGAAGATCAGCTCAATTAGAACATTTGTAAAGGAAAATTTGAATTTATATAAGTATAGTAGAGGCCTCACTTTTTATAAGGAAATAATAGTCATTTCCTACTATAAATTAAATGTCTAATCTGTATAGCACAAAATGCAATGTTGATTGGTCATTTTTTATTCATTCATTGAATTTGGAAATATTGTATACCACCTTCCAACATTAATTAGATATTTTAACCTTGATTAGGGTAGATATAAATACAACTCAAATATTGGCCTTTCTCATTCTTGTTTGGCTTATGTGAATTGGGAAAAAAATAAAGAAATCTTTGCCAGATGAAAAACAAAGTCTAGTGGACCTGTTAACTACCACTTATCTTAATGAGAGAAATGGTAATAATATCATATAAATGAAATGTGTTTTTATTCTACAATTTGGCCTTACAGTCACAGTTGATGAAATTTGTACATAGCATTCTGAGAGTTTATAATTCCTTCAAAAAGATAATAAAACAACACTGCAAAGAGCAGTTTATGGAAAAGCTGGGAAGATGTTCAGTATCTCCATTTGACTCCTTGTCAGCCTTTTTCTACACTGGGTTCAAATTACTCTCTTATTTTTGCACCAGGACTGAGGTGGACAGCATGTTTTTCTTTAATGTGCAAAGTGCCAGGCAAAGCAGAATCATTCTTGTTATTCTGGGCTCAAGGAAGAAAGAGTTAAAAATTAAAATTTCACATTACCAAATGGCCAAAGCCTGTATTCAAAAGTAGTTATCAGGAAAGCAAACAAATACAGTAAGGCAAGAGACTGAGTAAATGCAGTCATTTTGTTGAACCAGTCTGACCAGCTAGGATGCAAATAAAAAGCTTTATTTTGCTCACACCGACACTTCACACTTGCTGTGTGGAGCAAGGTATTGTCATCTCCAGGGAAAAATCTTGAGTGAATCTCATAGAGTTCCATCCATTTAAATCACAAGAGCAGTCTCATTTCGGTAGCTGTCTAGCCCAGCATAATAATAAAAACTTCCGGTTCTCGTCCATGTTAGCATCTCTGTCCATCCCAGCCCAGTACTCTGGGTCTGGAGCTAGTGGTGGGCGAAGGGCTGGCTGGCTTTTTCTTACTGACCAGCTCCTCTCCCACCAGTAGCTGTTGTTTCTGACACTCCCAGAAATGGTCCCAGGAGGAAGAGAAGAAAAGGAGAAAGGGGCTGGTGCTGTGATTTTGTCCTCTGAGCTTGAAGGATATTCATGACTTCCTTTTACTCTCAGTGGGTGCATCTGTGGCTTTCTTAGAGATTCCCTCACTGGAGTTTTGCAGTGGTGATTGATGGGGTAGGGAGTTCTCATCCTTAACTTGAGCTCCTTTCAAGCTGGTTCCGAGTCCCCCTCTTGCTGGTTCCCTGGCCCATGGGATACCCTGGAGCCTTCTTGCCTCATCCCTGTTGCTCTCCCCTGCTTCTCTGCCTGTTCTGAGTCACAGCCTTTCCTGTGAGTCCTATGCTTCCCAAACTCCAGGGAGCACATGTCAGATCATGTAAGCTATGCTGTTGAAGCCCTGCTATGTGTAACCTGGTGGGGGAAGCATCCTCATCTCTTCTCCATGGCATTCCTACATTCTGACAATTCTCTTTAAAGGACTTTTTTTCTCTCAAAACTCTTAAGCTTCCTCTCTGCAGTCCCTAGCCATTCCTTATACATTTCAGTACATCATTTATATGATGAGCTAAGGGTTACAAAACTGGTTTTCAGAAATCTCCTTAGCAAATCCTTTACCAGTACTTTAGCACTTCACTTCATAATGAAGATATGCAGCACCTGTTTGATTTCTCTCCCTCTGGGACCACAGCTGATCCTAAGGTGGAGAGGGTCCCATTTTAACATTGTGTTGCATAGACCATTTGGCAAAATAGCTTTAACCTGAACATATTTACCAGGAACACATATCATATAGGAAAAAATATCAATATTTATAAACTGGATATGTTATCTGAGTTCCCTTCCCTCCCTCCCTTGCACTCACAGGGACCAGCTGGGCGAGATGGCACACACCACAATGTGCATCAAGGAGTCGCTCCGATTGGCCCCTCCAATCCCATCCATTTCCAGAGAACTCAGCAAGCCCATTACCTTCCCAGATGGACGCTCTTTGCCTGCAGGTCTTTGCATTCTTTTCCTACGCAATTCCTAGAGACCATGGGATCCTGGGGACCACAGTGACAAAGACCAGAGGTTTCTCAACTCTTGGAGACTCAAAAGACAATCCGAAGGACAATTGGCTTCAGGCTGGGGACTTACTAAGAGCTCAGTGGGTAATGTTTTGATCAGATGTGGGGTTTTTCCCAAGGGCATGTAGCCATTTGCAGTGAAGCTCACAACCTATGTCACCAGAATCCCAACCCAGGGTTTCTTCCATCACAGGACAGTGTTTCTAAGACAGGTTTGGCTGAGTTTGAGATCCAGGTGAGACTTGATGGGGAAGACCTGAAGGGGATCTTTGGCTTCCTCATCATGATACTATCACTCTTGTAAGTGTGCAGCACTTAATAGTTTACACAGAGTCTTCAAACACATTACTCATTGTTTTCCCTTGGACAATGATCTTAGCAGACACTTAACACTGTGCTTTGCAGTTTATGAAGCAATTTCAAATAAAACTTTTGGTGTAGCCAAAAACCCAGTGGGGGTCCCCAGTGTGCAAGTGAACAGAGCTAGAACTTACATGGAGGTCCCACACCCAGAGCTCAGTACTGCTCCGAACAACTGGGTTTCTGAGCAGGTTGTATGGGAAGCTGAGGGGCCATGTGAGACGTCTTTAATTTATCTGCTTCAATGTCCTGTTAATTTTTGCCTTTGTAAACAAGCCGACAGGATTGCTTGGAGCAAACACCAACAGTTGTCACTTACTGTGACTGTATTGACACATCCAGAATTGATTTACCAGAATTATTCCTGGTAACCATATAATACTCAAATTCTCACTTCTCTGTCTTTTTTTAAAATCCTCAAAACACATGGATATTAGCCAAAATTTCCACACCTTCTGCATATGAGCCATACCAACACAAACTTGTCATTGGATCTGCATGGTGGACTTCTTATGCGCCCAGACTATCTCCAGTGGGTGCTTTGTGGTCCACTAACAGATAAAGAAGTTACTTCCAGAGGGAGCAGAAAACATGAACACGGGTTATCATTTTGACATGATACCAGTAAGTCCTTAAGACAGAATCATGTGTTAAATAAGTCTTCCCTTTGAAAACTAAGGTGCTTCAGCTTCCCATGGGTCCTTCACTGCTGGTATCAGCTACAGCACGTGGACTTCTGCCAGGAGGTAGCTCTTTCCATTCAAGAAAAGTCTGACTGAGAAGCAGTATAACAGTAGCCCACGACTAGCTCTTTCTCCTGCAACCTCTTTTATTTCCTTCTTTTCTCAGGAATAACCGTGGCTCTCAGTATTTGGGGTCTCCACCACAGCCCTGCCATCTGGGAAAACCCAAAGGTATGACTGTCTTATGGTAAATACTTGAAAGAACTCACATTGTTCAGTTCACTTTTTGTTAGTTATTCATGAAAGTGGCAAATGACACAATGCAAACAAAAAAGAGGCATAAAAACCAAAAATGTAAAACTTTTCCCTAGAGGAAAACTGTCCTCTACCCCTATTTCTACTTTATTTTTGCTGCATAATGCCACACAATCTGCTGTAAATTGCCACATCTGTACTTCATCATTTACTTAATGAGCTATACCAAGCTCTTACTTAGATATTGAAAAGGGTGTAGACTGTCAATGTAGTCTGCAACTCCAACTCTCTTTTGCTGGATGTAACTATTAGGATTCTGTCAGGAAATCAGTGACATACTCAGGTTGGACAATTTGAGGAGTGTTTCATAAGGAACTATTCACAGAGATATGGAAAGGGTTTAGGAAAAGTCAAATAGACCAAATAGCTGCTGAAGTGCTTACCACTTCCAGGCCTGATGGGAGACGGAGAGAGGGCTGCAAACCTAGAGAGAGATGGCTTCTGAGAAAGGCCTTGAGACAGTTGTAGACCACACAGCCAACCGGAGGCGGCCTGGTGGGGTGGGGCCCAGGGAATAAGTAGCCTGAAAGCGTTCTCTTCCCACCCTCCAGATCACCTATCAATGTCTTTTACTGGGTTTCAATGTCTTTTACTGGCCGAACTCAATAGGAAACCATGTGAGTCAGCTTCTTGAAGCTGAGGACAGGGTGGGAAAGGAAGGAGAGAGGAACTGGAGAGGCAAAAAGATGTATGGCTGCCCTGAGTTCCTTGATTCGATGTTCTTGAAACTCGAAACACTCACAACATGTACAGACACTTCCTTTAACAAAACTCCTAGGATTTAAGATCTGTTGTGTATGATGGAAGTTGGACTACACATCTCAGAAACAAGTGATCATAATCATTTTGGCTTGGCTTCTAAGAGGGTGAATTCTTACCTCCAAAGGGAAAATAATACCACTGGCTCTAGTATTTCTGCTTTCATCCTACTTAGTCTGGGTAGCATGCTGGTCAACTGGGAGGCTAGACAAGGTCTATAGGTCTGGAGTGTGGTAGCCATTAGCCACATGTGTGGATATTAAACACTGGAAATGTGGCTGGTTGGAAATGAGATATACTGGAAATGTTAAATATACACTTGATTTTGAAGACTAGTACAAAAACTGTGAAAAACTTCCTTAATAATTATTTATACTGAGTACATATTGGAATGATAATATTTTTAATTCTATTGTTAAAATCAATTGCAACCTTTAAAAATGTGGCTACCAGAATGTTTGAAATTACATATGTAGCTCACAGTATCTTTCTGTTAAACAGTGCTAAGGAGTAGCTAAGAAATGTGTTAATTGTGTGTTGGGGATGGTGGTGGGTTGCCCTGTTGTTTCAGGTCTTTGACCCCCTGAGATTTTCTCAGGAGAATTCTGATCAGAGACACCCCCACTCCTTCTTACCATTTTCAGCTGGACCAAGGTGAGGACAATTTGAAGATGTTGAAAATACATAAAAAATGTTTCCTTAGGAATGACTTTCTCTCTTTAGCCCCTCAGTCTTATAAAGTACTCTGTGGAATCCCATCATCTCACCAGACTGCAAGGTAGATTTTGGTGCTTATTTGAGCTCCTGAAAGGGTCTGTTAGTTTCACAAAGGACAGGGTCCTTCTCTGTCCCATCCTGTACAGCCATGCCTCAACAGGCTATCCCATGAGGCAAGGTGTTGCTCATACACTTAATGTAGCCCACCCTCAATGCAGGAGAAATGTTCTTTTTTAAATTTTGGATTTATTGAAGTTGACATATAAAATCATAAGATCCTGAAACTGTGTATCATGATGATTTGATATAACTTATACATTGTGAAAGGATTCCTCCCCATCTAGTTAATTAACACATTCTTCACCTATTTATTTGTGTATGTGTGTGAAAACATTTAAGTTCTACTCTCCTAGCATATTTCAATTGTGCAATACAGTGTTATCAACTCTAGTTACCATGTTTTACATTAGATCCTCACAGGAGAAATAATTCTATGAGCAAGTCCAAGTGTACCTTGTTTAGGGAGGGCATCATGTCGCAGCCTCCCAGTTCACATTCTTACAGGCGACAATGTAAGTCTGCAGTCCAAAAGTTCCTATGGCATTTGGTGTGAAAATGTTGCTTTATTGTGAACATCAGACTTGTTACGCTAGTATCTTATTTAAAGAGTCAGAAACAACTACCATTTCTTCAAGTATCTCTTTTCTTCCCCTGGTGTCTGCAGGAACTGCATCGGGCAGCATTTCGCCATGGCTGAGTTAAAGGTGGCCATTGCCTTGATTCTGCTCCACTTCAAGGTGACTCCAGACCCCACCAGACCTCTTGTCTTCTTGCCCCAGATTGTCTTCAAACCCAAGAATGGGGTCCACTTGCACCTGAAGAAACTACCCTAATGTTAGAGCCTAGGATACAGTGCTTATATGTATTTTGTTTTAAAGTTAAATTACAGCTAATCATCCAAGAAAATGGGAAGAAATTCAAAGTATGGTGGGAGGGTCAGAGATAGGTGGGATGGAGGGTTTCTATGGAACTGCACATTATCCAAAATCCTTTTCTGTTTAACTTGGGAGGTTTTCAGATCTTTCCTGTTTGATTCTGCCTACTATTAATGCTATATACCAAAAATTTTTGCTAGGCAGCTTCCATATATTTTCTGTTGTTTTTAAAAATAATTTTCAGTAGTAGTAAGTGAATGTATTCAAGATATTACTGCTCCCAGTAAAAGATTTCCAACATTAGAAAAGCATCTATAGTAAAAATGAAAAATTCCATTTCACATACCCTACACCTCCCTTCCCTGATGAATATTACTGCTTTTCCTAAAAGCAGAATAGTTTGGTGTGCATTTTTTCACTTTTTCCTGTACATTTCATATGTATTGTATTTCACATGGAGCTGTATGTATATGTTACTATAGATGGGATCATGTCCATACATATGTTTTTTTCACTTAATAAAAATATATCTTATTCTTAATCATAGCCTCTTGATATTCTGCAGTATAGATGTACTACAATTTATTTAACTATTTTTCTATTATTGAATATTTAAGCTATTTTTAGTTTTAAAACATGCTTATTGGCCATTTGTGCTTACCTTTATTTTGTTCTCTGTGATTTGTATATCATGTATGTTTATTTTCCTATGGAATTGTTTGTATTTTTCTTATTGATTCATATGAGTTTTTTACATATTGTGGGTAATAATCCTTAATGTTAACTTTTTTGTAGTTTTTCCCACCCTTTTACTTTTTAAAAACTGTATTTATAGTGTCTGTTACCATATGGAACTTCTAGATTTTCATGAAGATACATATACATTTTTTTTTAGGTTCTGGGTTTTGAGTCTTGGATAAGAAAGCTTTCATTTGAAATATTATCAAGATAGTCTATATATTTTCCTGGTGCTAACAACTCTCATGAAGCCTGAACAGGAGTTTCTTAATTTTTTCCACATTTCCCTCATTTGATGTTTCAGTGCCTATTGTATGTTCGATATTGTGATAAGCATTAGGACTCTCATGAATTAATAACGTGGTCCCTGCCCTCATGGAGCTTATATTCTAAAATGAAAAATGGAAAACAAACAGATAATTACAAATCATACTAAGTGCCATGAAGGAAATGAGTGGGATGAACTAGATAGTAAGCAAGAGGAATTAGATTGGGTTGTCTAGAAATCTCTTTAAGAAGGTGACATATAAGTTGAGACCTGAAAAATGGTAATGGAAGCTACCCCTACTTTTTCTAATGTGCCTCCTAGCAGGAAAATTATGGCAAATAGCTGGACAACTTAAATTGCCCTGAAACAGACAGTAGGAGTTTTGTCCCTGCCAAGTAAAAGCAAACTGATCTTGACTACCTGGTTGGATAGGAAATGGAAAAGAAAGCACTGGCCCATCCATAGCAGCTTACTATAACAAAAAGATGCCCAAACAGAGGAGATGAAAAAGATAAAATTTTCTTTCCCTGTCACATTAAAATCTTGAGGAAGTAAGTGGTCCACAGCTGGGAGGGTAGTTTGCTCTACAAGGTTATCAGGCATCCAGTCTCCTTCTATCTTGTTATCCATCTTCAACACATGGCTTTCAATTAATGATCTAAGATAGCTGCTAGCTCCTGCCACCACATCTCCCTTCAAGCAAGTGAGAGGAGATAAAAGGGAATAGGAAGGCATGCACCTTTCCTTTAGAAGATATTATCTGGCAGTTGTACACATCACTTCTGCTCACAGCTCCACCCAAAACCTAGTCACAAAAACCTAATCCCTCCTTCAGCTGAGACAGAAACTGGAAATGTGGTCTTTCACTCGCAACCATGTGCTCAGCTAAAGTTTCTGTTTCTATAGGAGTGGAGAATGGTTGCTAAAGAGTGAGTCTCTCTGCCACCAACAAGGTTATCATTCAGAATTGTAGGAGAGATAAAGAGCTTCACAGATAAACATAAGTTAAAAGAGTTCACCACTACTAAACCAACCTTAAAAGAAACATTAAAGGGACTTCTTTAAGAGGAAAATAAAAGGAATAATTTAATAAAAAGGTATAAAAGAAGGTATTATATACATAAACATGGAGGAGGGGGAGTGAGATGTAGTTCTGTTAGAGTGTGTTTGAACTTAAGTATCAGTGTATTATAGTGTTGTGTTCATAGGATGTCCTATAAGAACCCCCTGGTAACCACAAACCAAAAACTTCTAGTAGATACACAACTGAAGAAGACACAAATAAATGGAAATCTATCCCATGCTCATTGATAGGAAGAATTAATATTGTCAAGATGGCCATCCTCCCCAAAGCAATTTACACATTCAGTACAATCCCTATCAATATGCCAATTGCCTTTTTCAATGAAGTAGAGCAAATAATCCTAAAATTCACATGGAACCACAAAAGACCCCAAATATCCAAAGCAATCTTAAGAAGAACAAAGCTGGGGGTATCATGCTCCCTGATTTCAGGCTCTACTACAAAGCTACAGTGATTAAAACAGTATGGCACTGGCATAAGAACAGACCCATAGATCAACAGGAACAGAATAGAGAGCCCAGAAATAAACCCACACATGTATGGTAGGTTTATGGGTTTATCAGGGAAATGCAAATCAAAATCACAATGATTGGTGAAACCACCTCACTCCAGTCAGAATGGCTACTATCCAAAAGACAAGAAATAGCAAGTGTTGGCAAAGATGTGAAGAAAAGGGAATCCTCCCACACTATTGTTGGGAATGTAAATTGGTCCAGCCACTGTGGAAAATAATGTGAAGGTTCCTCAAAAAATTAAAAATAGAACTACCATACAACCCAGCCATTCCACTTCTGGGAATTTACCCAAAGAAAACAAAACCACTAATTCAAAAACATATGCACACCTATGTTCATTGCAGCTTTATTTACAACAGCCAAGATATGGAAGCAACCCAAATGCCCACTTTAGATGAATGGATAAAGAGGTGGTATGTACACACAATGGAATATAACTCAGCCATAAAAAAGAAGGACCTCTTGCCATCTGCAACAACAATGATGGACCTAGAGGGTATCATGCTAAGTGAAATAAGCCAGGTGGAGAAAAACAAATACCATGTGATTTTATTTATATGCAGAATCCAAAAAGCAAAACAAGCAGAAAAGAAATAGAGCCATAAATATTGGCAACAGACTGCTGGTTATCATAGGGAGGGGGATAAGGGGGGTGAAACAGGTGAAGGTGAAACTGGAAATTGTAGAATAAGCTAGGCATAGGAATGGAAGTACAATACAGAGAATATAACCAACAGTATCATAATGTCTTGGTATGGTAATGGGGAACTACACTTACTAATGGCAAGCATCTAGTAATGTACATGTTCATTGAGTCACTATGTTGTACATCTGAAACCAATACAATATCATTTATAAACTTTATTCCAATAAAAAATATAAAAACTAAACAAATAAAATTGGACATTTTAAGTTTTACATGAGAAAATGAAGAAGAGAAAGTAAAAGAAAAAAAGGGAAAAAACTTTCCAAGTCTTTGCAGATTAGCTTTGTATTAAGCACACCTTTAGTGTTAGGCCATTTACAACCTTGCATTTGGCATAAGGACTAGTCAAAGTTGAATGCTTATGGTCTTTCTCAGGTCTCCCAGGTCCTCTCTGTCAGGCATCCTGCCCTGGGCATTGTAGGTTCCCTATTATACATGAGACCTTTTTGAAGCCGCAATTTCCCCCAAAATTGTCAACCCAAGATTTTGTGATGTCTACTGCTGTCTCAAATGTTCTTTTCTGCCCCAGGAAGCAGTGCTAGTTCTTTTGCCTACCCATGTTTTCCGCCTGAGAGAGTTCCAGGTTAAGCAAAACATAGGCAGGCCCCAGTCCTTCAGAGCACCCATGTAGAGGTCAAAGCAGACAAACTTAAGTCCTTGAGAACAAGGCCCACTCTGCTTTTTCCAGGACCTAGTACCCACCGAAAATGCCAGCTACTGTATTCCAGATTGCCATAGCACCAGAAAGGAGTGTGGAGCAAGGCTAAGTTAAAATGCCTCAAAGTCTTCTTAGCCTGCTTCAGTGGCCTTTCTCGTTTTGTGCTCTAAACAATTGCCTATCTTCCAGAGTTCAGACAAAATGTATTATGACCATTTTTGCCGAAATTTTTGTTGCTTTGGTGTGGGATAGCCCTGGATAGTTCCTACTCCATTATTTTCATCGACATCACTTCTAGACATTATCTTTTATTATCCTACAATGTCTCCAAGAAGAAGAGGAAGATTCTTGCTTTATTAGCTTAGAATATAAGCGTCTATGCTCTCTGTCAAGGCAGTTTTGCAAACATCCTTGAATAATGCTGTCAACCCCCTTTATTTAGAAGATGTGCAGAAGTGCCAGAACTAGCTCTCAACAAGTGCATATTAGAGATTAGGGAGAAGTAAAGAAGAGGCCCAAATTTTTGGTAGGAAAAGTAGAGAATGTAGTTATGCTTTTAAGTGAAAGGGGGGTCTATCTGATAGGGAGGGGATAGATCCTGTTTGGATATGCTGAGGTTGAAGTGCCTGTGAAATAAACAAAGGGAGCTGTCCAGAGGCAGTGGATTTATATTGCTGTATATGTATTTATATGCACACACACACACACACACACACACACACACACACAGAGAGAGAGAAAGGGAGGGAGACAGAGAGTTCACAGGAGAATGGAAGAATGAATGCCCTTAAGATCTCTTCTTACTCTCAAACTGTATGATCCTGAACCCCAGGGTATTACAAATTCATTTCCCCTGAGCTTTTGTAGGAAGTGTATCTTATGCCAATAGCCCTCCTTTCCTAGATACTCATGTTTCCTCCCGAGTTTTCACTATTCTATATTTATCCTACATAAAGACTTTGATGGAATGAATGAAGGACACTGGTTCTTGTTTTCCCAGATCTGCAAAACCAAGGGCACATCTCTTAACCTTTCCTTCTGATTCATTTCTCTCCATCTTTCTCAAACTCAACAAAGGTAAAATCTACAGAACATCGAAAAGCTTGTTTCCTGATCTAGTTTTACATACTTATTGAAAAAGGAACTGGAGCCTAAAAATGTCACTACAGAGCCCCCCCCCCACACACACATCCCAAATTTTGTTCTTTCAACTTTTATTTTCTGAGATCACTTCAGATTTCCACAAAGGGAATCATACTCTGTTTCCTACTGTTATTCCCAGTAATCTTGTAGCTCCAAGTACTGTGGTTAAACAAAGGGTAAGGGAGTTCCCTCATTCTAAAGTTGTGGCTTCCATGGATTTCCCTGGGACTCCAGGCACAGAGGACTAATCTCCAACCTCCTTGCCCTCTGCCTGTTGTCTTGTCTCTGAGGCACAGAAAGACATATAGAAGTTCTTTCTCATTTTATCTGGTGACTTTTACTTAATGCTGTATTGTTGTCTCCTTTGTTCTGCTTTACAGATCCCCAAATCACTTTTGGCCACACAAGCTCATTGAATCCTTCGTTGGTATGTG